TGTCTGCTGGGGAGACTACAGGAAAACGATGTGAAATGCTTGACATGATGAGGGATGCAGAGTGTTCAGCACCTATTTACTGAGCAGCTCATCACTTGATTGTATGGTATATAATGTATGAGAATTTATAGAACAGTGAACATATAAACACATAGAACAAGTAAACATATACAACAAATGAACACCTAGGTTTTTAACATTTATTACATACATAGAACATATGATAATTTATCTATAGAGCAGTGAAAATACCACATTTTTGACATTTGTTTTGTGAAAGATTTATACATATTTGTATAAAAAATAATAAAAGCGATAATTTCTGTTATCTCCCCAGAATACAGCATCCTTTTCATCTTTTTCCATTATGTAACTATAATATGGTATGATATAAATATAATATGCTGTGAAGTGATAGACATCATGATAGATCAAAATGTATTATCCACTATATATACATACATGTACATATTTATTGAAGTATAATTTATATACAAAATATACAAATTCCAAATATGAAATTCAATGAGTTTTGACAAATGTCCACACCAGTGTAACCACAGTCAATCAAGACACAGAACGTTTCCATCACTCCAGAGACTTCCCTTGTGTTCCTCTGCAGTCAACTTCCATCCTACCTCACCCCAGGTAATACTGACAGGATTTCTGCTGCAGTATCTTAGTTTTGCTTGTTCTGGAACTTCAGAACGTCCTCTGTACTGTCTAGATGTATTCATTCAACACAAAGTTTTTCAGATTCAGCCATGTTTGTTGCAGTTACCAGTAGTTTTGTCCACTTTATAGCTGAAGAGTATTTCATTGTGAATACAACACAATGTTGTTTATCCAATTTCTGGTTGAAGGCCTTTTAGGTAGTTTACAGTTTGGGGATAAGTAAAGATGCTGCAAATATTCTTGTGTAAGTCTTATAACAGGCGTAAGTTTTCATTTATTTTCAATTTAGGATTGGAATTGTTGGGTCACAGGTTACATGTATGCTTAATTATATAAAACAATGTTAAGCTGTTTTTCTTAAGTGGTAGCATTTTACATTCCAACAATAATGTATGAGGATTATAACTGGTCCATATTCTCAACAACATGTGGTACTGACAATAATTTTAATCATAACAATTTTGGTGGGCAGAATGACAACTCACGGTGGTTTTAATTTGTATTTCCTTGATGACAAAACAATATTGAACCTTTTTTGTGTGCTTTTGTCCATTGGCATAGCTCTTTTTGTCATTTTTTTCTTATATTCATTATTTTTATTTTTTGCTTTCTAATTATTGAGTTATTAAGAGTTCTTTATATACTATATTCTGAAAAATCCACAGTGTTCGAATAAAGTGTTGCAAATATTTTCTTCCAGTCTGTAGCTTGACCCTTATTCTCTTAACATTGTGTATTAAAAGGAGAGTTGTTAATTGTAAGGTAAAATTTATCAAATTTTTATACTATCTCTTGTTATTTGCTTTCTATTTGTCCCACTTATTCTTTTTCTCATCTTTTTTTGTCTACTTTCAAGTATTTAAAAAATTATTCTATTTCATTGTATATTAGGTATCACTGTTTTTGTTACTCTAGCATTTGCTTTAGGCATTATAGTATACAGATCGGTTAACGTAAAGATAACTTGCAATAGCCAACTTTTAACAGACATTATACAACTTTACACATAGTCTAAGAACCTTACAAACTATACTTCCATTTAGTCTCTCTAGGCTATTGTCACATATTTTACTTTTACTCATGCTACGGAACTCACATGACACTATTATTTCGAAACAGCCAATTATGTTGTAAAGATATTTAAGTAATAAGGGCAGATATTACATGTTAACTTATGGTGTTATTACTGCCAGTGCTCATTTCTTTCTGTGAATCCATGTTTCCATCTTCACAAAGATGTTATTATTTCCTTCTTCCTGAAAGACTTTTACACTGTTGTCATAGTCAAGGTTTGCTGGTAATAAATTACTTTAACTTTCATATGTCTGAAAAATATCTTTATTTCTTTCGTTCTTGAAAGACGGTTTTGCTGGGTATAGAAACCTAGGAGAGACAGTTTTCTCCTTTTGGTTTGAATATGTTTCACTGGGAGCATAAAATATGTTTTGCTCCACTGCCCTTCCCCTTGCATTGCTTCCAAAAATAAGTCTGGTATCATCCTTGTTTTTGTTCTCAGTATTAGACTTTCTTTTTCTCTTTGCCAGTCTGAGTTTTGATCCATTTGCTTATGATGTGTTGTGATGTGGTTTTCTTAAGAGTACTCCCACTCCACTTGGGGTTGTTGAGCTTCCTGGATCTGTGGATTTATAGTTTGCATCAAATGTGGAAAATGCTCACCTATTATTTTTTTAAATATTTTTTCCTATCCATCCACTCTCTTTTCTCTTTTGAGAACTCCAATTACACGTAAATTAGGCAACTGAAGTTGTCCCATAGATCACTGATACTCTGTCTATTCTTTTTTTTTTCCTCTCTCTGTTTCATTTTGGATGCTTTCTATTGCTAAAGTTCATTAATCTTTTCTTCTGAAAACTCTAATCTGTCATTAATTATATCCATTGTATTTTTTAATCTCATACATTAACATTTTCATCTCTAGAAGTTTAATTTAAGCTTTTTTATATCATCCATGTCACATCCTAACCTTTGAACATATGGAATATATTTGTTTTAATATTTTTCATCAGTAATTCTAACCTCTGTGTATGTGCTGGGTCATTTTAGATTAGCTGATTTTTATCTTCATCATACATCTTATTTTTCTGCCTCTTCACACACCTGTTTTTACTGAATACCAAATATAGTGATTTTATCTCATTAGGTGTTGGGTATTTTTCTATTCCTGGAAGTACATTTGAACTTTGCTCAGAGATGCTGATTATTGGAAACAGTTACTGGAAACCGTTTGGTCTTTTTTTCTTCCTAATCTTTGAAGATTTGTTTAGTGGGGCTGCCATAGTAATACATGGTCTACGACTTGCCAGGACTGAGGCAAGACCCCAGTGAATATTTTACCTAATGCCCTATTAATTACAGGGATTTCTAGTATGGCCAGTGGCAACCACCTCTATTCTTGGTTGTATGTGAACATGCATTTTCAGTGAGGGTGATATTGTCCCCCAAATGACAGAAATTGTTTTTTTTTGGGGCGGTGAGGTGGGAGAAATGAAAAGAAAAAAGTATTCTTTTTGAATAAAGCACAGATATACATACGGTACTAAAGAGATATGCGGTATATGTGTGATATTAAAATTTCATAGAGAGGTGACTAGAAAAGATGCTTAAAAAGATTCCTTGAGGAGGTCAATAATAATTTTTTAAAGGTTGATAAATGCCGGTGTAATTCTTTTGAGTGTTTCTTTCTCTTGCCTCAGGTAGTTTCACGCACTTTGTTACACATTGAAGGGCGACGCTCCACAGATCTGCAGAGTTTTCTCCAAGTGCAGTTCTTTCCCCTCTGGTGCTCTGTCCTGCAATCTCTAGCCACCTTTGTATACCTGAACTCTCAGCAACAGTTACTCTACTCAGAGATCTGCTAGGCTTCCTTAAGCTAGCTCTATTGTTGCACTGCTGTCCCAAATTCTCTCCAGTTGTATGCTGGGATACTCACAGCACACATCTTGTTTCCCATCTTTCAGGGATTACATTCCATGCCTCATGTCCAGTGTATTGAAAACCATTGTTTCATATTTTTTGTCTGGTTTGAGGTTGTTTCATGCAAGAGGGCCAATATGCTCCCTATTACTCCACCTTAGCCAGAAGTGAAATAAGAAAAAAAAAATGTAAGTATAAACACACATACACATATATATGTATGCCTGTATATAATATATATGAATTATATCGTAAAGATTTGGAACAATAAGTAAATTTAGCTATCACTTATGTTTGCTCACTGCAGAGTAAGATGAATGTTCTAGATTGGAGCATATTATGGGAGCAAGGCAACCTGTAGAATTAGTCAGGAACTAGAAATACCAGGACCTGCATTCTAACCCATTTTTGTCAGTAATTATCTGTAACATTTTATCAAAGCAGTGAAGGCCTTTGTGAAATTTGCAAAAATGGGGAGAATTATATATTTTACTTCGCTGGTTTGCTCAAAGAATTAAAATGTGATATTAGTCATACAAAGTGCTCATGCAGTCATAGAGATTCTATTTTAAGGGCTTTCTTAAAATGTTTCGGTACCATCACAAACTAGCTAAGTTAGACATTGTCATATCGCAAAATCTAAAAGTTCATCATATGATTTTAGGTATTTTTATTCACAGAGCAAATGGAACAATGTGAACCTCACATTTTAAAATAAATAATGGTAAGATAAAATATAAAAATATAATTTTAGGTCATAATCAACCTCTAGGCAATAAACTATGTTATTACCAGTTTGTAAAAAAAAAATGCCACAGGAAGTAGTTCTTCAGTACATTTTCCTGACATATGATTAATCCATAATAAATTCTGCTACTACTTGTAGTAATGGCAACTTGATGTAACCTACTTAAACATTATTCACATTTGCACTCAAGTATACCAACGTCAACCGTTAATGGCTGTTCTGACAATGCATCAGCAATGGGCTTAGCCTGAGCATCCATCAGGAGCGATGTGAAGGAAGAGGAATGGTCTCTATGATATTTAATGTCTTTACCAATAGAAAAGCTCTATAATTCTTGGAATTCAATTTTTTAATTAAAAAAATGGGTCTCTGTTTACATGAAATTGTCAAAACAGTGCTTACAAATACTTTCATCTTTCCCCAAATTGGTCAGTGAGGTAGTAGGTTAAACAGTCAATTCACAATGTTTTGATTTAAAATGTGTCCATATCACTCTTCTCAAATTCAAGAATATTTTAATAATCCGTTTGTGTCACTTATATTATGGATTCAAGAATAAACTAAGTAAATGGGGCATTTGTTTGCCTTCTAGTTGCACATGAAGAAATTATTATTTTATTAAGGAAAAAAGCCATAAAAATCGATTTTCCATCTGCACTCGTTTATTTGTTGCAACATTGTTTGTAACAGTTAAGATTTGGAATCAACCGAAGTGGTCATCAACAGATGAATGGATAAAGAAAATGTGGTCCACATACAAAAGGGAATATTATTCACCATAAAAGGGAATGAGATCCTGTCACTTGCAACAACATAGATGGAACTGGAGATCATTATGTTAAGTGAAATAGGCCAGGCATAGAAACATTGCATGTTCTCACTTATTTGTGGGATCTAAAAATCAAAACAATGGAACTCATGGATATACAGAATAGAAGGATGGTTAGCAGAGGCTGAAAAGGGTAGCGGACAGCTAGGGTAATGGTGGGGCATAGATGGGGATAGTTAATGGGTACAAAAAAATAGAAAGAATAAGATTTACTATATGATAGCACAAGAGAGTGACTATAGTCAATTAAAAACTTAATTGCATATTTCAAAATAAAGAGTGTAATTAGATTGTAACACAAAACATAAATGTTGAGGGGATGGATACCCCATTCTCCATGATTTCACAGTGCATACCTGTATAAAAACATTTATATACTCCATAAATATATACACCTAGTATGTACATAAAAATTAAAAAATAATAGATCTTCCATCAAATATTCTTTCAGAGAAGATGGGAACAAAGATCCAGAATTACTGGTCGGTCTAGGCAAACAGAATGTCAAAGTAGCCTAATATGATTTTCTCCTCTGCTAAATAATACTGGGAAGGCAGGAAGGTAGGCTTCTGTATGGGCTGAGGTTAAAAGTGAGAAGTGTCAGGAGTTTAGTCCATGCATGACAACTTATTAGTACTGTCTACTTGAAGAAATTAACTCTCATAACCACATTTTTGTCTCATCTATAAAACTGAGGGAGCAGGTTAAAAAAATCTTATGTTAATACATGACTTGTTCTATTCCATGTCTCGATTACAGTGAAGGATCATACACAGTCTGGATGAAAATGTTAAATTTACTATGACCTTTCACAGTAATAGGGACATGGGGTAGAATATATCACGTATCAGTACGAACTGCTATCGAAGTATGTTAAGTTTATGCCAAAATAATGACTCTTAGGAAACATTAAAGATTTAGAGTGATTTCCTAAGGTAAATTTGGACAAAAATACTGAGATAATACCACTCACCAATGTCACTATTTTACAGAGATAACCCTTCAATGTCACATTAACCACTCTATTTTTAATATTAGAAATTTGATGTTTTTAAGCATCAGAATCTTCAACTTTCTCAAATGAATAATGGTAATTATATGTTATTTTCTTTTTTAATTCGAAGACAAAATTTGGGAAATTATTATGCTTTTACTTTTATATTACAAAAGGGTATTACCTGCAACTAGCATCTACATATCTAAATAACGTTTAATAACTAAGTTCTCTGCAACAATAAAAAATAATCCAGATTTTAGTAAGTTGATTGGTAGATGGTTGCTCTCTGGCAGAAGTTTAAATATATACATTTATAGTTATTTCTACATCTAGCAATCAATAAATATTTATCTCTTTTTCTTGTGCTTTGTGTTTAGTAATTTAAAGAAAAAACTTAACAGATGATAAATAGCAGACCAAAAAAGGTCAACAAATCATAATAATCTCAAAATATATAAGGAAGGTAAGGTAATGCATAAACCAATATAAAAATTTCTTAATTTTATAAATTAAGAAAAAGCATATAATTTTGTAATTTTAATTTTCAGAGCTTTCCCTAAAATATTTTTTATTTTATTTAAAAATGAGATTACTTTCAAATAAGAAGATTAAGTCTAAAAATTGGTAGAAAAGATTGATGGTGATGACGTATTGATGCAATTCAATGCAACTGTTTTGCTGTCTCGTGAAAAGTGCAGTGAGCAATGGCTGTACTCTCAGTGCAGATGTAGTATTCTGAGAAGAGATCATTTGTTGAGAGTAGATTTAAGAGACAGAGTGTATTCATTCTTTCAAAAACAACACAAATGAGAAGATGGAAATTCATTTATGTAATAGTAATGCTGAATTAGTGTATTTTCAATTTGCCCTGATGTGGAAGAACTATACCATCTCATTAGTCCTTGGCAGGCAGTTGGTATCTGGAATATGAAGAGCATAGCATCACTGCTTTTATATAATTGGTTTATTGAATCCAAATGGTGGTTGCATGCATTATCAAACAACCACTGCTTCGATATTAGTTCCTGGAACTGTCTCCATAAAGTTAATTCCAATCCTCTGCTCTCTTAATGTGTATGTAAACCTTAATGAGACATGTTCCAGTTAACAGCATATATTCAATTTTGGGTTATCTATGAGAATTTCACCCCATGTTCATAAACCTATGATCAGAATGGCAGATTTAATAAACATCATATAAATGCTATCTTTCCTTGGAGTGAACAGCCTTCAGTTTACATTCCAAAAGCAATTAGATAAGAGGATAATACACAATGATATTTATGCCTAGAGCAGTTCAAAATTTAGAAAAGGAATTAGTACTCTTCATTTAAGCTATTTTTTTAAATAAATTGAAAAGATGGTCTGCACAACATAATAGAGTCACAGGAAATCACAGGCATATCAGTAATAACTTTTAGAAAAAGAGAAAAGAATGATAAAGAAAAACAGATATGACCTCTCAACATCTTGGGGAAATAAGTTTAGGATGACGTTTCATTCAAGTATTAATGATATAAATAAAGGATAACTCTGTGTAAGAAGTAGTGTTTATATCTGGTTGTAAATTTAGTTAAAAACATAATCACAATTTACAAAAACTGTAATTACAAATTACAAATAAAAATAGGGAGACAATCTTGTATTGACATCCTCTATGCATCTTGTTACCTACCGATTTTCTGTTCCATTACAAAATTCAATACTAAAATTTCATAGCTAGCATTCAATATTAATTTCAACATTAAAATTTATCAAAATGATTAAAAACAGTCAATTAGAAAAAGCAATACACCAAAAATAATGGTAGTATTTCCAGGCTTCTACTGCATTGTATTAACCATCACACAGGAAACAAAAGGGCTGTGAATTTTAGGTAGGCCACTTGGCTTTGGATTCCAGGACTATGGAAATGCCGGTGAAAGTAATCTAAGAGGCATTTCCTGTTTTATAAATATCAGCAGAGGGCCAAAAAAGGGGATCCCAGGTATGTTTTCAAGTTACAAAAAACATTAAAGTGCAACATTATCTTTCACATCTCAACAAAGTTCTGTCATTTTTTGAAATAAAGTAGGGCCACAGCTTTATAGTCATTTTCTCATCTAGAGCCCCACAATTATTAACACAAATCAAACCACAGTTTTGGAAGAATGCCTTTGAACAGGGAAACTACCGAACAGTGATTAATGGCCATACCTAATTCACAGTTCGGAAACTGATGGTGGAGGACTGTGTATCACGAACAGAGAAAGAGGCCTCCCAGAGGCTCTGAGGCTGCTGGTCTTCAGCCAGGTGACAGCACAGCACCCACTGTATACACCCTGATGGCAACGGCAGGAAAGTCCATAGTCACGGTGATAGAGATGGCCACAGCTGCCTATCAGAAGACTCGCTCTTTCTGGCTTTCATGGACTGTTTTGCACATTGAGCTCACTGTTTAGAGCTGTCTTAGCACTCTTCTTTTTTTGAGACTTTCGACTCATTTTCTTTGCGTAACTTTCGCTGTTGATAGACGCGTATGGCTATGGCAGTGATGCAAAGCAAAATAAATATCACCACTGCTATCACACCTAGGGAGGCCAAAGAAAAAATAAAACACCAGAGTTTTTTTCTTTTTCTTATGTTTAGAAAGAAGGTCTCACTCTGTCCCCCACGCTGGAGTGCAGTGGCGTGATCATAGCTAACTGTAGCCTTGAACTCCAGGGCTGAAATGATCCTCCCAAGTAGCTGAGACTATAGGCCCACTCTACGATGTTCAGCTATTTCTTTCTTTGTTTCTTTCTTTCTTTTCTTCTTCTTTTTTTTTTTAACAATTATTCTTTGTAGAGGTGGGGTGTTGCTATGTTTCCCAGGTTGGTTGGAGTGACCTGGGCTCAAGTGATCCTCTCACCTTGGCCTCCCAAAATGTTGAAATTACAGGTGTGAGTTACCATGTCTGGCCTCAATGTCAGAATATAAATGGTGATTTTTGCTCCAATCAGAGGCTTTGTAGACATCATTGCTTTTTAAGTTTGGTTAAATAAACCAATCAACTATTATATAATAAATTGAAAACATCAAAAGTCAGAAATGCTAAGGCCAAGTAATTTTATAAGATTTAACATACTTCTGAGCTACTATAACTTTTGGACATGGCTGTGTTAGGTTTTTTCCCTGCAGGTATATGATGATTGAGTTTCAGATAATGCTTTCAGATTTAAAAGCAGAAAGACATACATGTCTCTAAGACCATGTGCATCCTTCAGTTAACAAGTGGGAAATTTTAAATCATTTTAAAAGTATAGAGTGTTTGGCATCATCATAGATCAATGCATGGTTTTGTTAGTGCAATGAAATGGGTACATTTTAATGAAATTGTTTTCAAATACTTTTATGATAATACACTTTGGAAATGCAGTAGTGTAAGCATATACGTAATCAATCCCTACTACCAAAAGTATTGTAGGCATATTTATTAATTTTTTTTACCTGGAATATGGATTATTTGAAAGAGCTGGGTGAAATGTTTTAAAATACTGAAACCATTAGCAGTGCCCATGATTCTTGACTCTTATTTGCACACTAAGTCAGTAAATCAGAATAAATGAATGGAAGATCTGGGTACCAGTATCTTTATAAGCTGTTTCAGGTTTTAATTCACAGACAGAGTGCTAAAGCATGAAGCTGTGCCAAAGAATGCTGTTTACTGATGCAATCATATTAGTGACAAATGAAACTAAAATCTATGCTGAAAGAAATAAATATGTATAAAGACAAGCTTTCGAAGGTAATCAGAATGTGTCACCCCTAAATACGCTTTTTTGACAAATATTTTGAGCTAAGGCAATTAAGAAGCAGCCAATGGTGGAAGAGCTCTCTAGATCCTCCCCTCTTTTCACCTAAAGACAGAACGTAAATTCTCTTTTACTGGGGACCATTCTTATCAGCTCAGGGATGTCAGCAGAAGAATGTACAAACACACGTACCCCATTAGTTTCTTCCCATATATTTATCTTCCCACGATTTCTCGCCTTCGGAAACCTAAAATTGCTTTCCATTGTCCTGTCATTTCTCTACAAATGTATTGTTGAAGATGAGTCAGAGTTCTAAGCCACTGCTTTGAGTTTCACTGAGGTTTCTCCCACATGCTGTGAGCTGCATGCCTTAGTAAATTTGCTTGTTTTTCTCCTGTTAATCAGGGGTCTGTCCCAACCACAAACTTTTGAGGGATGAGGAGAAATTACGTTTCCTCCCCCACACTTTCACTGCCTACATCATACATTTAAAGTACTTCATAAAAATATTAATTTATATCTTCAGAAAATGCAAACTGCCTTTGTGAAAGCTCGGGGGAAGCCTTCCACAGACTCCTTTTCATTCCCTCCCTCAGAAACTAAGTAAGAATTTCTCAGGGGAAGAGAACACTGCTACGATGTTTCCCTACATCTACTCAGTCAATCTTGCCAATGATACTTGACCACAAGCAATATAATATAATTCCAAAGATGAGAGCTGGTTCTATCATCAACGTATTATTACCTTCTCACCAAAAGGTGGGCACTAGCCCTGACATTTGTGTAAATATCTGTAGGACTTTGGAAGCCTAGTCTGAAAATGTTCAGCATGTTGAAATTACTTTGGCATCACAATGAAAAAAATCTCCTAAAAAAAGCAAGATTGATTTAGGATTGGATTTGATTTAAAATTGAACACGAGGGCGCGGTGGCTCAAGCCTGTAATCCCAGCACTTTGGGAGGCAGAGGCGGGTGGATCACGAGGTCAAGAGATCGAGACCATCCTGGTCAACATGGTGAAACCCCATCTCTACTAAAAATACAAAAAATTAGCTGGGCATGGTGGCGCGTGCCTGTAATCCCAGCTACTCAGGAGGCTGAGGCAGGAGAATTGCCTGAACCCAGGAGGCGGAGGTTGCGGTGAGCCGAGATCGCGCCATTGCACTCCAGCCTGGGTAACAAGAGCGAAACTCCGTCTCAAAAACAAAACAACAACAACAACAACAACAACAAAAAATTGAATACGAAAGTATACCTTTTAGATATGCATTACTGACCACATTCCCAGAGGAAACTGTTTAAAAACAGTTTTTGTTCATTAGGTCATGTATTTTTAATTTACATCTTACTTACTTCTAAGAGAAAAAGAATGTAGATAGTGATAGGAATGTGAATTTAGTTTTGACTAAAATTTAATCAGAACTTTATTATGTCTAAATTGTTTCCTGTCATTTTGGAGGAAAAAACACACCTGGTTAACTTTTGTATGTGCTATGGAGAGTCTGCAAAATAAGAATACCATTAAGATTTCAATAATTCACCCGTTAATTAACAAGGAAAGGTGAATGCTTATTTTTTGTGCCAGCTCTAAATAATTTATATTTCAGAAAAAAACCAGTTTTCATTGCCAAAACATACACTTAAACTATGTTTAATTTTACTTTTCTTCAATTAAAAATAAGCACAAAACATTCTTAGCCTGTATTAGATTAGTTCTTTCCAAAGCATGATTAAAAGTGAAACTTACAGTGGTTACTGCTGCACTGCATTGTAAACATCCTCAATGACAGGGAATTGTACACTTCAAAATACTAATACACTAAATAATGTGTGTATTTAAAACTTCTTAAATAAGTGAAACATTGTCATGGGAGTGTCTAAACCACGTCCCTTGTCATTAAACTACCATAAAATATGTGCTCTGATAATTAGCTGAGGTTTCCATTGTTTTGAACATAATTGCTTTGGGTCTGTCCAAGAGTTGTCATTACCTTGACAAGTATCCCATACGTCCTAGGGAATACAGCTATTTTCGAAACCCCGTCTCTACTAAAAATACAAAAAATGATCCAGGCATTCTGGTGAACGCCTGTAATCCCAGCTACTCGGGAGGCTGAGGCAGGAGAATCGCTTGAACCCGGGAGGCGGAGGTTGCAGTGAGAGGAAACTGGACTCTTGTCTCAAAAAGAAAAGAAGAAGAAGAAGAAGAAAAAAGAACACTAACGCAATACATAGCACCCCTCTAACCTCACCATTGAATGTTGATTCTTACATATATTTTCCATTGTGCTAAGTAATGCATCATTATCTAAAACGATAAAATAACAAGCACCAGGTCACTCAGGGCCCTGTTACCTCCGATGACTGCAGAGTCTCTTCTGTCCGCATTAACCAAGGGCTCTCCCTCATCTGCTGGCCCAGAACGACCTACAATAGGGAGAATGATGTGTATTAGCTTGATTTAATCACGCCACAATTTATGCATAGCAAACTTTGTCAATTAAGATAGGAACATCACAAACATACATTTTAAAAAAGGAAAAAAAAGGATGGCAGTGACGGAGAAAAGGCGGCTTTTGGGAAATTCACAAACATTTGAGAGAAGCGCAGTTTCGGGTGCGCTGGGGTGGAGGGTCACACACCTGTGCCTCCCGCGAGTCGGGGAGCCAGTCCCCGCGCCGGGGAGCCGGACGCTGCCCCTGCCGCGCAGCCGGTCATGGGGGCCACGTGGCCGCGGACGGTGACCCGGGAGGGGCCGCTGGGGCGCAGCGCCGCCTTCAGGGGAGCAGCGCGGCCGAAGCGTACGGCCGAGAGGCAGCCGGTGAAACCGCTCGCTGCGGCCCGCCTTGTGTCCGGGTCTGTGTCGGCGACCTCTGTGGACAGAGGGGGACACAGTTAGGGTGCAGTGGCGGAGATTGGGGCTCAGGGACACTCTGCATTTGCAAGACAGCCAACCACGAAAGTCCCCCCGAACCCATCGTTCCTTTACCAGGAGAGGTCACCCTGAACCTTTACCAGTCTGGCAACTATTTCCATTGCCAGGCTTATGAGAGGCAGGGTTTTAAATGATTTGTTCAAGTGCAGATGGCTGGCTCTCTGAAAGTAACAGAGCTTCATAGGAAAGTAGTTATACGGCATGAATTTAAGAAATCCTCTGCCATTTAATTTTTTAAAATATAGCATTAAAATAAAATTTTCATGGTACTCACAGCCAATAATCCAGAGGATTACAGAAAAATGACTCTTGGAGATGAGGAGAGAGCTCGGGATATCCTTTCTGGTTTTGCTTATTCTATATTATAGTTGTTATTTTGTATGATGACTTTCACATTATCTTAACAAATTGTACCTTTTGTCATCAGATAATATCCCTCTTTAGCTCATTTAAGATTAGATTATATTCCAATCTTAAATTCAGTCTTATCTGAAAGTAATGCTGCATTTCTCAAATTTATCAGCTGTTGCCTGGTAGTCCTTGGGATGCCCCTTCTTCTTCAATATTGTAAGAGCATTTAACTATTATTAAGCCTAGTCTGACAGAGTTTAGTCCATTTGTCTTTAGAGTAATAACCACTGTATCTGATTTTTTTTTATCTTACACTATTTATTCTGCACTATTGTTTTATCTTTTTTTCCTTTTCTTTATTTTGCTGGTTTAATCAGTTTACTTCTTATTTCCTGCTTTCCCTTTTGTGAGTTGAGAGCTCAGCTTCCCTAGCCCTCGAAATCAAAATCATTCCTTTACACCGTTATATGAAAACAAGATCCTGTTTTTCCAACAAGACGATTCACCCACCTCTTTCTCCCACTCCCACAGTGAGACGAGCCATTGCACGGGTTCTTTCTGCACCCTCCCTCTCGCCCTACTGCAAGGTTCCACCCAACAGTTCTCTGAATGGGAGGCTTGGGAAATTTGTATTTCTTTCTTCTCTCACTTCCCATCTTAACCCTTCTTTCTTTGGTTTTACTGTAGTACATTTAGATCCTGACCAGAATGACAATGTCTCTTACATTTGTTTTTCTATGATGTTTCTAGTTCAAGGATTTTATACAATTTATTTTTTCCAAGAAAGAACTTTGACAGGATTGACGAAGATTCTCCCCATGACCAAATGGTGGTCAGGCTACCCTAAGCTCTCTGCTCAATCAGCCTGACCTTTGGTCTTTCATCACCCAGCTTAGCAAGAGTCCTTCCAAGTTGGTTTTAACCAAAATCTCCCACCCTCAATATCTGATCACCCTCAAGATCTAATCACCTTTCTCATCCCTCTCTCCATCCTGCAGGTGATGTCTAACCACCCCAGCCTGGCTTCACCAAGAATCCTGGTAAGTTGGTTTAGTAAGAATTACCCTCCCCTATTTTGTAATTTTCCACTCAGACACCCCACCACCCCAGCTACTCTGCTTCTTGCTATGAATCCCCATCTTTCCTTGTGTTGAAGTTGAGCCTAATCTCTTTACCAGACTGCAAAGCCCCATTCCAGTAGTTCCTATACCTGCTGCCGTCGTCCTGAATAAAGTCTGCCTCACCATTTTAACAAGTGTAAGAATATTTTTGTCTTTTGACATGCTACAAGGTGGTTTTACATTAAATAGTTGTAGTTTAGAGAAAAATCATAATTTTAGGGCGGACTTCTCCTTAAAATTATGAATAAAAACCTTGAACAATTGTTTAATATGAGACAGTAGAACTTTCTTACATCTTCAATAAATGACTTAATTAGAAAATGATCATCATATACTTTTTTAAAAGATGGAAAATCTGAAAGAAAGGAGTTTCTTTGCCCACTCTGAAGTGTACCTGGCCATCACACCACAACCCAGGAAGAAACTCAAGGGTGATTCTGTACTCCCAGGGTTTAGCCAGCACTGCTATTTATTGCTGTTAACCAATATTCAGTAGAACTCAACCCTTACTGTGATGACACGTAGATACAGTTTACTTCTCTATTACCTTGACATGGCAACATGGTCAAAACCCTTCACTTTTGCCTCTCTGTTATCAAATATATGTTGACCTGTCTGCCACCCTTTCTGTGCTTTCTCAACTTTGGGGTCTCATGGTTGCCTAAATTCCTGATTATGGCTTTTGATGACACCCCTAGGGGGTATGTGTATTTTGGCAGAAGAAAGGCATTAAGCCAAAGGAACGGATCTCTAATATAGAATTTGAAATACTGGCACTTGAAGCTGTGGGAAAAAAAATTTTGAGGTAGGGTTGTCTTCCCAACCCATTGACGTCATGCCAAATAGACAAATGTGTGTCTTTACAAAAGGGTGCCACATGAACTAAAGAAAAAATCAACTAGATAAGTGGACGGTCTTCTACACTGTGCAGTCTGGTAGACACTTCCCACACGTGACCATTGAAATTCAAAATCAATTAAAATTAAATAAAATTTAAAATTTAGTATCTCAACTACATAGCTACATTTCTAGTGCTTAAAAACACATTTATCTCAAGTGTGTCTGGGAACTACCACATAGGACAGCACAGACATTGTATCTTTTCATCATCACAGAAAGTTCTATTAGACAGCATTAGTTTTGTTGACTTATACTTTCAAAGACCTCAAGACATCTGTGATGCCCACTGAATCCTGGTTCATGGACCAAGTTAGAAAATCTCAGAATTTTCTATTGAAGAAAATCTTGGAGATAACTTGGTGCAGCCTCCTCCTCATTTTACCAATAAAGAGATTAATTGATATAATCATTGCTCTTTCTTGGAAACAAACACAAAATATCATATCTTCTTGACTTTTTAGAGTTTTGGGTGTTTTTATTCTGCAGTATTGAAAGAGGCAATCCACCACTGGCTCTGAGTGTCTCTGCATGCTTTGCTGGGTTTACCAAGAAATGAAAGACTCTGACAGCACTTGACTCAGGCCATTTCTCAAGGCTGTGTTTGAAGCAAGCAACCTTGAGGCATGAGGTCATGACCACCTCCAGGACAAAGAATAGGCTTGCTTACTGCTTGTTACAAAGTCAGTGGATTCCCCAAGCTCAGTGTGCCTATGCTGTAGTGCAAACCTGGCCACAGGTGCAGCCTAAGTCTGGACCCCATCACCACCCCATAAGACTTGTGGGCCAAGGGAAAGCAATGCAAGCATGCTGCTGCTCACAAGGCTTGCGGTGCCATGAGTAATGGCGTCCTTTGTCTTTGTACCAGGACAGCATCCACAAAACAGTTAAAAGCTTTAACCTTACTAGCTCTTAAGTGAGGTAAAAGCAAATCCCAGACCCAACATAAAACATTTCTTCTAAATGAGACAAACACCATAGCATAGAAGTAATATAAAATACATAGGTCAATTGAATTTTAAATGTTAAAACTGTATGTCTTATCTTATGTGACATCTCCTTACAAAACTCAAAAAGCAATTTCCAGAAATATTTAATCACCAAAACGATTTGGCATTCTTACATATCTACAGCTCTATTTGAAATACAGTCCTTTGGTGGGCTTGCTTTTCTTCAGCCCAGAACGTATACCTCCTAAGGTTTATAAGCTCATCTGTGTGCATATGTAACTGTTTACAGGCTACTTTTTAAAATTTTTGAGGGAGCAGACAAAAAGTCACATTCCATTTTTGCACTTTGTGTTTTTGTTTTTGATATATATGTATATTTAAGATAGTGTTTAAATACACACGCACATATACACACACACACAGAAAAATAGAAAGAATACCAATAATACCAAAGTATCTTAAAAACAAATCTTAATTTATGATGGGTCACCTTTACTCAATTATCAAGTATTTGAGGTGTTCACATTCTTTAAGACTACCTCTTTGATAAAATTCAAAGCTATACAGAAAGTGAAAATCTAAAAAGTTTGCATTTAAATAGGTTTACTCTGAATTGATCTTGTGATAATCATTCTGAAATGGTCTCCATTCAGCAAGACTATTGAGAAATGGCAAAATCATATTGAGTTGTTCAGAAACAGCATCTTAATTATGATGGATTCTGGGCCATTTTTTTTCTAAGGCATTGTTAGGGTGTATAATCATAAATCAGACTGGATATGACCATTATTTTATTAGAACTTCTCATCTACTAGCCTATATACCTATCAACATGTGAGTTTAGTGAGGGTAGGTGTAGTGTTTCTCTCGTTCAGAGGCTTTCTCAGTGCTTAATAAATTGTTCATAGTAGACGCTCACCAAATATTTTTAAATGAAGGGATGAATCAAAGATTTACAGAGACTCAAGAGAATATATTGATAACTTAGAACAGAGTGTTCTGGGTACCTTTCTTTGTAAAATTAGGAGATTCTCTATTGCCAACTTGTGGGTCTATTTTACGACAAGTTAAAGACAGAACTTCCTAAGTAACTTCAAATTTAAATATAAAATTGTAGTTTTGGTATCATTACTAAATGATGTGACAGTGGCAAAAAATTTATTGCAGAACCAATCCTAAAATATAGTTGTTCAAAGTATAAAGAGTTGTATTAATCTTTGATGATTATCTCTATCTGCAAGCACAGGCAAAATGAATATTTATAATTTCCTAAGATCAGTAGCTTCTGACTATATGCTTCATTGCTGAATTTGAATGTAGATTTTTATACTATAAATTACATGCCTTTGAATATACCATCCTTGAATAAAAACATTAACACCTTCAACTCCATGTTCTCCTTTATTTGAAAGGAAACAAAATTGTATATAATAAATATTATTCTACTTTTTAATCCTCTTAATATTAAAAGTAGTTCATTTACTTAATTGATTTAAATTAAAATGTAGTTCATTTTCTTAATTGACTTACATAAGATAGGTATATTTCTTCAAAAAAAGATTATTTTTCTCAGTTCCTTTGTTAAATGTAAAGCTAACCTGTGCGTTTACAAATACTGTCCTGTCAATATGATAGACAATTAGTGTAACTTTCTACATTGCATAATAGATATTTATGAACATGCCTCCCCATTCCTGTTACATGTTAGAGTCACAAAGGATGGAAACAACAGGCAAAGCAGGACTTGAGACAGAATTAAAACTATATTCATCTGCTGTAAGAAGATAAACAGTTTTTCTGTTGTTTTCAACTCAAACCTAGTTTTGTCATTGAATGACCATCTCTGGGGTTGATGCTGATAATACATAATCTGTGAACTTTGTGTCGGCTTTGATAACATTTCACTTTTCAAGAAGGGTTAGAAAAATACTGTGATTCATTATGCGTGATTGCCAACTGACAGGTTAAGTGTGGAGGTATTTTTCCAGGAACGCCCTTGCACATCTCACAGGGAGCACTTACTCATAATTATATGTATGCTCAGGCAAGAGTACAGTTTGCACCTTGATTGTCACTCACAGTGACACTATTATTCAAGTAAGACAAGGAGCTTCTTTCAGCATGTTAAATGCTTCCAGAGTTTGTGACGTGACACTTATGTTTTTTGGGGAAAAAGCTCTTCCTTCTACTTACCTAAAAACTTTCCCAATATGAGAGATTTGACAGCATTGAATTCTGTCCCTGAGGACAAGATGACTTGTTTCTTTGCACTCTGGTTAACCTATGAGAAGCAAACATCAACAGAAAGTACAATTTTAATGGTAAGGAAGCAAAGGAAGACGAGGAAAGAAAAGATGAAAATAAATCACTTTTAAGTACCACTACAAACGTTCAAGATAATGAATCATTTAGAAGGGGAAGCCACTTTGTAAGCAAATCCTATGATGCCATCAGCTACCACTCTATCCACGATCTACCCCCTTCCTGGCTTTACTCTTTTCCATAATTGGCAGGATCCACGAAAAAGATGGAATCAGCTATTTTAAACTTAAATACTCATTCTGTGGAGAAAATTTGAAACATAAAACCAAGAATTGTTGTTCTCTATACAGATTAAAAGTATATTTCCCTTGCAATGCTGATGACAATGTGTCATTTACTTCCTCTGTTGTGACTCATGTCTATTTTCTTACTTATTCCCGTTTTAATGCTTACATTGTATGCTTTTAAATCATGTTTTTAAGTTGCTAAGTATTTGTTCTTTTATAATCAGAATAGGTCAAGTTCCCATTGCAATATCAATGAATAGATTCCACCAGTAGTCACCATGATAAACTAGAGAACATTCCCCTACTGCGTAAAGTAAAACAAAGATATTTTGATATTTTAAATAGTAAAATATTAATAATACCCTTGACAGAATTACATTGCTAAACAAATAAAACAAAGCAATACAGACTAAACAACCACCTCCTCTCCCCCAGATCCTGGCCATATTTGGCTTCTTATTCTTGACTTATGGAAGAGCAGCACTGAATGGGTTGCTCTTTCATTAATATTTATCATCAAATTTTTGCATTAGATTATTTGTTCTGAAAATCATAGTATTAGTTATTTTGACTTCTGAATTGGTATTATTACCTCTACTATGACCACTGCTTCTTCTCTGTTGATCTTCACTTGGTGAAGGTGCCCATCAGCCATGTTTTTAAAATCAAAGTTGAATGCATCAGGATTTTGATGTCTGTCTAACTTGTACCTAATCTGCAAACTTCCTAAAAAGAAAAAAATAAATGGCATTTAAAATTAAAATGGTATTTTATAAAACTCTTGATAAAGATTCTAGAGCAGTTTTATTATTATTTACTATTGCACTTTTGAATCCATTTAGCATCAATTTAGATGCATCCAATAGTCATCTTTCCTGGAATAGTGATTACTTAGGTGCTATTCCAGTGCCAGACTCTGAGTCCAATGATGTTATTTTAAAAGTCAAGACTAAATGTGTTGTTAATAAGCAGACTCCCCATTTAAAAATGAAAAGGTTTAAATTATGCATATGAGATCTCTGAACTCAGATATAAATTCATTATGACTATATTTATTTTATGAAATGATGAAACTCCATGAAATATTGTATCAACATTCAGTTCCTGTAATTACAACTTCTAATAAGACTCATTTTAATGTTTTACTGACATGTACATAATTAAAGATTTTTTTATATCCAGAATTATTTTAAGTCTTCTGCCATAATCCAAAAATGAGGAAGAGAAAAGGTTTTGTCAGGAGGCAAGGTTTCCACAATATCTATATCTTCTAATACACACGCCCGTCTCCTACAGAGATGTTCCCTCATTATCTATCATTCTCTTGCAGCTTAGACTAAGATCCTGTTAATCGGAGATTTTGTAGAATTTTTTCTAGACATTAAACTTTTGTGCTGTGTACCTAACAAATGTAAAGCTTGGTCTTCTTGTTTCTGTGGAAGCCTTGGAATACCCCAACTGCCACTGTTTGGGAGACTGTCATTTCATTTTTCCTTCATAAAAATGATATAACTAGTTTTTCAACCACTGATAGATAAAGAAGAACCATACTTATTTGTTGCTTATAGGAATTGGCTTTTATATAGTTGTACTATAACATCTATATTAATGCTCCTCTATTTTGCTTAGAGTGAGCAAGGAATGCATGTTATCTATCTAGATATCTTATTTCAAAATGAACTGCAAAACCAATTTGGATTATTATGTATTATTAAAGGCATCCTATCAATAATAGGAAGTATAGTTGCATATCAACTCTGTGAAAGTATCAAACATGTAATGGGAGAAAAACATCTTAATTTAATCTTGAAATGCTAGCTTTTATAATCACCACTAAGGAAGGCACTGAAAAAACCAAAGACATTGGACGGCATGCAGTTTCCTTTCATCGTTTGTGGTTTGAATGCTGAAAAGACCCATGTCATTACAGTCCTATTCTTCTAATTCAGGGTTCTCTTTTTCTTTACACAAAAGATATTCACCATTGTTGGCGAGGATAACTGAAAGGTATTCCTCATAGAAAGAGCTCACATACAGCAATAAGCTCGGAGTTCGTGTGGTTCGGAAGCTCAGTGTGATCATTTCTCTGGTCAATGTTACATCTCTGTGTAATGAAGAAACGAGGGAGCTGGAGTTTTCACTTAAAGTGTAATGTTCTTGAAAATTATATGTCATTGAGGAGCCAGTTCCAAAATATGCAGAAATCTCTGAAATGATAAATACATTTTTGTTATATTAACAAAATATAAGTCCAAGGATCTTGTTTTAAGTACATTTAGAAAATGAGTCAAAACCTTAAAAATCCTGGGAGATAAAATAATAAATGCTTTCCTGTTTTATTTTTCATTTTTCACTTTTTGAAGTTTTTTAAAAACTACAGTTTGAAGAAAAAAGTAGCAAACTCCAATATACTCGTAACCCAGAATTCATTAACATTTAATAGAGATTTTACTTAATTCTCCAAATCATCTTCATCTTATATTTACATATGATTAATTCTCCAGTATAAATGTATAATTTAAAGGAAACTTATCTCATCTTTGGGTTCAAATTTTTCCCGAATCATTAATGTTTAAACATCTTTATTCAGATATAATCTGTATGCCATATAATAGACCCAATTACAGTGTAGAATTCTATGTATGTCTTTTAGTATATTCACAGGCACTTGCGAACATTGCCATGATCAATTTTAGAGTATTTTCACTACCCCCAACCGTCTCATTCCCTCATACAAGACCCTCCAAATCCACTAGCAATCATTCTCTGTTTCTCCCCAACATTCCAGCCGAGGCAACCACTAATCTACTTTCTGTCTCTGCAGAGAGTTCTATGCTGGAGATTTAATGTCAGTGGAATCATATAATATGTGGTCTTTCTAATACGGCCTCTTTCACTTAGCATGGTATTTTCAGTATTCATCCATGTCATAGCATGTATCAGTATTTTATTCCTTTTTATTGGTGAATAACATTTCATTGGATGTAAATAGTAATGGATGTGCCACATTTTGCAGATCTACTTAATAGTTGATGGACATTTGAGTTGTTCCTACTTTTTGACTATTACAAATAATGCTTCCATAAATATCATGTGTAAGTTTTTCTATGGACACATATTTTTATTTTTATTAGGTATGTATACTTAGGAGTAAAATTGTTCAATCTTACGATAACACCAACTTTAAGATTTTGAGGAACTGCCATATTTTTTCGAAAACAGATATACCATTTTACATTCCAAGCAGCAATTTATAGGGGTTTTAATATCTCCACATCCTCACCACCATTTGTTATTACCTTTCTTTTAAATTACAGCTATACTTGTCTGTGTGAAGAGGTATTTAACTATGACTTGACTGCATTTCTCTAATGGCTATCATTGCCAACCATCTCGTCATGATTTTATTGGGCATTCGCACATATTTGCTGAAGAAATAACTATTTATAAACTTTACCTATTATTTAATTGGGTTATATTTCTTCTTATTCAGTTGTAAAAGCTCTTTAAATAATTTGAATACCAGACTCTTATAAGATACATGGTTTGTAATAATTTCTTCCATTCTGTGGGTTATCTACTCTTTCATTCTCCCATGTTTTAAGAGTTTTATAGTTTTAGTTCTTAGATTGAGGACTATTTGGTACACTTTTATGTATGTGTGAGATAGAGGTCTAATTTCATTCCTTTGCATGTGTCTGTATATTCAGTTGTCTCAGAGACTATTTCTCCCCATTGGGTTGTCCTGGCACTCTTGTAAAATCTACTGACCATAGATATGAGGGTATCTATCTGGACCTAACTGTTTAGTCATAAGCCAGTTATACACTGCTTTGCAGTAAGTTTGGAAATTGGAAAGTGTGAATCTATCACATTTCTTCTTCTTTTTAAAGACTGTTTTGGCTATTCTGCATCACCTTAATTTCCATATGAAATCAGCTTGTCAATTTCAGGAAAGAAGCCAGCTAGGATATTGATTGAAACTGCACTGCATCTGTATATTAATTTAGAGAATATTGGTATTTTATTTATATTATTCAATCCATAACATGAAATATCTCTCCATTTATTTATATTTAATTTCGTTCAATGTTTTATAGCTTTCAGTGTTTTCCATTTCTTTTGTTAAATGTATTCCTATATATGTTTTTCTTTTTTGATGCTACTGTAAATAAAATTGCTTTACTGATTTTATGTTCAGATAGTTCATAGCTAATGTACAGAAATACAATTGATTTTGTATATTGATCTTGTATTCTGCAATTTTGCTGAACTTAGTTGTAGTTTTAATAGTTTTAAGTAAATTCTTTGGGATTTTTCTATATAAAAAGATCATGTCGTCTGCAAACAGAAATAATTTTACTTCCTTTCTAATCTGGATGTATTTTTCTTTTCATTTTCTTGCCTAACCAGCCTTGTCTGAACCTCTAGTACAATGCTGAATAGAAGTAGTCAGAGTATACATTCTTGTTTTGTTCTTGATCTTAGGGAAAAAAATTCAGTGTTTTTAATTAAATATAACTTTAGCTATGTGTTTTTCAAAAATGCCATTTGTTAGATTGAGAAATTTACCTTCTATAAATTAGTTTCTTGAATTTAAACAAAAATTCAGGAAAGGATGTTGGATTTTATCCAATGACTTTTCTACATATTCAATAGAGATTCTAATGGGTTTCTGTCCTTTATCCTAAGATATAGTGTACTATATTCATTGAATTTCAGCTGTTAAAACAACTTTCCATTTCTGGATCATTTCCACTTTGTCTTGATGTATAATCATTTTTATATGTGACTGGATTTGCTTTGGTAATATTCTGTTGAGGGTTTTCACATCTATCTACTTAAATGATATTGGTCGCTAGATTTAAAAAATATATATAGATATGTCTATGTCTGGCCTTGGTATTAGGGAAATAATGACCTTACAGAATAAGTTGAAAATGCTCCTTTCTCTTTTATTTTTTGGAAGAGTTTTGAACAACTGGTACTTTTTATTTAAGTAGTTGATATAATTTAAATAGTTGATATATTCAGATAGTTGATAGCATCAATTGTTTGAAACCATCTGGACCTGGACTTTACTTTGTGTGGTATTTTAAAATTATTAAGACATTCCTTTTATTGTTATAGGCCTATTTATATTTTTTCCTTCTTCTTGAAAGAGAAGTAGTGGTTTAATTTTGTAGTTAATGACATCCTAGGAATTTTCCATTTTATCTAAGTTATATAATTTGTTTCAATATACAGTTGTTTATATTCCCTTGCAATACATGTTATTTCTGTAAAGGTGGCAATATCACTCTTTCACATGTCATTCTTGTAGTGTGAATCATCTCTTTTATTCTCAGTCAATTGCACTAAAGGTTTGCCAATTTTGTTAACAATTTTAAATGACTGACTTTTGGTTTGGTTATTTTTTTTTGTCCCTTTTATATTACCCATTTGAGAAATTTCTGCCAATTTATTATTCTGGTTTTCTACTTGTATTAGATTTAGTTTGCTCTTCTTTTTTCAGTGTGTTAAGGTGGAAGGTCAGGTTTTTTATTTGGGAACTTTTTCTTTTTAAATGTTGAAGTTTACAGTTATAAATTTCCTTCTAAATACTGCGTTAGCTGTGCAACATGTTTTACTAATGTTGTATTTTTGTTTTCATTTATCTCAAAGCCTTTTCTAATTTCCCTTTGATTTCTGAGTGTATAGTTTAATTTCCACATATTTGTGATATTCCACAATTTCTATGTTATTAATTTCATCCATTGTGTTTTAAAAAGACCCTTCATATGATTTCAATCCTTTTAAATGTATTAAGGCTTGATTTACAGGTAGCATGCTGTCTAACCTAGAATATGTTCCATGAACACTTGAGAAGAATGTACATTCTGCTATTGTTGAGTGGCGTGTTCTACAGATGTGTGTTAAGATGACTGGGATTTTTTTTTTCCAAGTCTGTTTTCTTGATAATCTTATGAGTAATTATTCTATCCTTTATTGAAAGTGAAGTATTGAATCTTCAGCTTTTACTCCTGATTTGTCTATTTCTCTTTTCAGTTCTGTCAGGTATTCTTTATGTAATTTGGGGCTATATTATTTACTGCATTTAAGTTTTAATTGTTATATCTTTTTGAGGGAATTACCTTTTATCATTATAAAACTTCCTCTATTTTTAGTAGCACCTTTTGTTTTAGAGTTTATTTTTTCTGATGTTAGTATACTCCCTTTGGCTCTCTAGGGTTACTGTTCTCATGGTACATGTTTTCTATTCTTTTATTTTCAACTAACTTACCCCTTTCAATCTAAACTGGGTGTCCTTAGACAGCATAGAGATTAAAATGCTTCACATCAAAGTTGGAGATTCAATACTTCTTTTGTTACCCATTCTGACAATATTTGCCCTTTGATTGGACTACTCAATCAATGAATATTTAATATTATTATTGATACAGTTAGATTTACATCTGCCATTTTCTTTTCCTTTTCCTATATGTTTTATTTGTTTTCTCTTTCCTTCTTAACATTATTTTGTTTCGATGGATATTTTAGAATGTAACATTTTAATTTCTTTCTCGATTTCACTATATTTTGAGGTAAAACATATAGCACATATAGTTTGCTCTTTAACCATTTAAAATGTGAAATTCAGTGGCATTAATTAAATTTACGATGCTGTGCAATTATTGCCTCTTTTGATTTCCAAATTTTTTTTACCACCCCAAAGATAAACTCTGTATTCATTAAGCAATAACTCTCCATTGCCCCCTCATCTCAGCTCCGTGTATCCTTAAATCTACTTTGTCTCTACAAATCTGTCTATTGATATCTAGTAAACATGGAGTCATGTAATATCTACTGTCTTGTGTCTGGCTGATTTCACTTAGCATAATGTCTTCTAGGTTCATCAATGTATTATGTATCAGAATCTCATTCCCTTTATAGCTGAACAATATACCATTATATGTATACACTACATTTTTTTTTATCAATTCATGTGTTGATGGACACTTGTGTTAATTTCCACTATTGTGATGATGCTACTATGAACATTTGTATAGAAGTATCTGCTTGAGTTCTTGTTTTCAATTGTTTTGGTTATATATGTAAAAGTGAAATTGGTGGGTTCGAAGTAATTCTATGTTTAACTATTCTGAGTTAACCCTAAATCAATTTCTACAGTGGCTGTGGCATTTGCATTCCCACCAGTAACAAAGAG